AAACTGTTTCTTTCTTTCCTCAGATGCCACTCATGATCACTCATTTAACACCATTTATTGAGCATGTACAGGCATGGGAAAAAATAGGTTTACAGTTGTGAATAGGCAAAACACAGAGTTTTTTCTTGTATGACTATTGATGATTTATTGTATTACTAGAGGCCCGGTGCATGAAATTTGTGCATGGGTAGGGTCCCTAGGCCTGGCCAGTGATTAGGGCTGAAAGGGGCCTTCCTTCCCCCGGCTGCCAGCTGCCAGCAGGGGCCTGCCTTTGTTCTGCCCCACCCCCTGGTGGTCAGCACACATCATAGCAAGTGGTGGAATTCCTGGTTGGTTGAACTCCCTCGGGGACAATTTGCATATTAGCCTTATATAGGATTTTCTTTTTAAAAAATATTTTTACTGATTTTAGAGAGAGGAAGGGAGAGGGAGAGAGAGAAACAACAATGATGAGAGAGGAGCATTGATTGGTTGCCTCCTGCATGCCCTTCACTGGGGATCGAGCCTGCAACCTGGCCATGTGCCCTGACTGGGAATTGAACCCTGACCTGGTTCATGGGTTGATGCTCAACCACTGAGCAACCCTGGTCAGGGATGTATTATTTTCCATACGAACAACTGTAAACCCACTTTGGCCCCACCCTGTACTATATGGCAGGCCCCAAGTTAGGGCTCAGGGACACAGAACAAGACAGGCTTGGTCTCTGCTCTCATGGAGCAGTAGAGAGAAAACTAGAAAGTAGACAATAAATAATATCGGATGGAAATAAAAGAGACTAAGGAGTTAGGGTAAGGGTTTCTTTATATAGTTGTGTGTCTGGGCAAGAAGGTGCTCTTCGAAGAGTCCCACAGTGATGGACTTAGGCTACAAAGAAGTCTAGTTCTCAGAGTAACAGCCCTGAGGTGTGGTTTTCGGGCTGAGATGGACTTTGCCTCTTGAGTCACATAAGAGGGGTCCAGAGGGTTCTAGAGAAGAGCCCAGGCCCCTGTTTGTGGTTCCTCACCCCCGACCAGTGCTTGTCCTTCCTGGCAGGGCTGCTTGAAGGAGGGCTGGCACACGGCCTTCCCAACCTTCTCTGATCCCTTCCTTACAGTGAGGTTTCTCCCTTCAGCAGGCCATTGGCCGTTTCTCTCTCTCTCTCTCTCTCTCTCTCACAGGTTTGTGAAGATTTCATTAAAAGAGGATTCACCAAAACCAATATGTTAGTGTCTTTTTGTTTGGGGCCACAAAGCTTTTACAATCCAAGCCTTATATCTTAATAAAATTAGGGAGGGATGAGAGGCTATGACATAGATTACTTTTTAACATGTTCCTGCTCTATTAGATAAAACTATTTTCATAAATAATAATGAAATGAAATGATTACATTTTATCTTTGCCCTTACTGAACAAAAAATAGTCCAATTGGTAATTGCTTCCTTTTAACAGTTTAACATTTTTTTAGTCTTTCTTAATATATTATTTTTTTCAATTATAGTTTACATTCAATATTATTATTACATTTTTTCAAGTTTATATTCTATTTAATTTAGTACATGAAATGCAGAAGCTTTCATGCTAATGTACTTAAATTCTTGATTCTAGAGCACAAACCAAGATATTTTTTAAAAAATTCTTTACTGTTTGAAGTATTACATGAGTCTCCTTTTTTCTCCCATTGACCTCCCCCTCCATCCCTCCCCCAATCACAAGCCCTCACCCCCCTACTGTCTGTGTCCATTGGTTCTATGTCTCTGGTTCTATTTTTGTTCATCAGTTTATGTTGTTCATTATATTCCACAAATGAGTGAGATCATGTGATATTTATCTCTCTCCGACTGGCTTATTTTGCTTAGCAAATGCTCTCCAGTTCCATTCATGCTGTTGCCAATGGTAAGAATTCCTTCTTTTTTATAGCACTGTGGAATTCCATCGTGTAGATGTACCACAGTTTTCTAATCCACTCATCTGCTGATGGGCACTTAGGCTGTTTCAAAATCTTAGTTATTGTAAATTGTGCTGCTATGAACATAGGGGTGCATATATCCTTTCTGATTGGTGTTTCTGTTTTCTTGAGATACATTCCTAGAAGTGGGATCACAGGGTCAAATGGGAGTTCCATTTTTAATTTTTTGAGGAAACTCCATACTGTTTTCCACAGTGGCTGCACCAGTCTGCATTCCCACCAGCAGTGCATGAGTGTTCCTTTTTCTCCACATCCTCACCAGCACTTGTCATTTGTTGATTTGTTGATGATAGCCATTCTGACAGGTGTGAGATGGTACCTCATTATTGTTTTGATTTGCATCTCTCAGATGATTAGTGACTTTGAGCATGTTTTCATATGTCTCTCGGCCTTCTGTATGTCCACTTTCGAAAAGTGTCTATTTAGGTCCTTTGCCTATTTTTTGATTGGATCGTTTATCTTCCTTTTGTTAAGTTGTATGAGTTCTCTATAAATTTTGGAGATTAAACCCTTATCTGAAACAGCATTAGCAAATATGTTTTCCCATGCAGTGGGCTTTCTTGTTGTTTTGTTATTACATATTTTTTAATCCTTACCTGAGAACATGCTTAGAGAGAGGAAGGGAGAGAGAGATAAACATCTATTGATTACCTTCTGTATGTGCCCCAACCAGAGATTGAACCCAAAACATGGGCGTGGGGCCCTGACAGGGAGTCGACCTGGCAACCTTTTGGTGCACAGGATGATGCTCAACCAACTGAGCCACTCTGGCCAGGCCGTTCAATATTATTTTGTACTAGGTTTCAGGGTGTACAGCATAGTGGGTTTGATAATCATATACTTTACAAAGACACTGTTCTCTTAAAAGGGATTAACCAGGTGGTTCTCAGCCTTTGGTGCACATAAGAAACCACCTGGGAAATTTTTTTAAAAACCTGATTTTCTGGGGTACATCCGCCGGAAAGTCTGGTTTAGTTGTGTGGGAAGTAGGGGCTGAGTCCTTCGGGCTGAAGAT